AGTGCAGCAATTGTGGTTCTCTCAGGCATAAAAGATAAAAATGTCCAGAACCTAGTTTAATTTGCTTCAATTTAATTAGTGGTTATTGGGTGTAGATATTCAGGATAAAATCTATATAACATGCTGTTCGCGATTTTAGAAGGAATTACGTTATCTAATACATGTAGCATACTTTTGATGGACTAACTATACGGATGTATGCCCTTGATGACAGTTAAGAGTTATGACCCCAGCTGATGAACTGGTTAATCCGTGCCACTATAGATAATCCCTTATAATGTGAAATGCTCATGTTAGCATTGATGCACAAGTTTGGCTATATTTATTCGCTGAGCCACATTGCGATGAATCAGCAAGTAATTGTCAGTGGTTAATGTTGAAGTTAATTAAGTTATGTTAACTAACTAGTTAACTAGGTTAGTTACTAATAGTTAAAGTTGGTTAGAGTTAGGGTTGTGGCATTGACAATCCGTGAGGTCATCGGGGAACTTTATTAAAATTAGAATCCAACCCAACTTCTCCTATCCCAAGGCAACTTACCATCGGATTAATCACTCAATATGGAGTTTTATATTTTGTACTTACCATAGGACTTTGTAAACTATTTATCTACTCTTCCCCCTGTTTCCACTCCAACATCTTTCGCGTGGCTCTACTTTGACTAATCCCATATCCATCAAACTCCATACAAGAGATCTCCCACTCTATGCTCCCGTCCCTTCTAAATCTGCATCTCCATCGGCGTATAATCCACACTCGGGGCTTTTTACCTAGTCTCCCTAAACAGCTCGTCGGCTCTAAAAGATCTCTCCACTCCGATCTTCCCCGCCTTACCCGCAAACATCGCCCGTTGCTGACTGGCCCACGAACCGTCCTACTCAGCTCGATGCCAGCCATCCCATTTCTCTCTGCATTGTTACGCTCTTCAAGTAGCAACACTACTGACGAGATGGAGTTCCCTGATAAACGGACGGATGAGGAATGGCGGGCCGTTCTTAGCCAAGGTATGGAGAATTTGTGTCTCTATCATTTCTTCATTAACTAATTACCCCCGCATTGCCCCGGATCTGTCGTGCCTTTAATTATCTCACTAAAGCTAACTGGACCCCTTTTCCTTGTTATCCTTCCCCCCCACCAGAACAATTCCGCATCCTCCGCAACAAGGGCACTGAATCTCCCGGCAGCGGCATATACGACAAACATGCCCCGTTATCGGGCGTCTACGAATGCGCGGGTTGCGGCGCTCCGCTCTACAAAGCATCTCACAAGTTCGTATCGGGCTGCGGCTGGCCGGCATTTTTTGACTCGGTCCCTGGAGCGGTGACGCGGAAGGAGGATAGGTCGTTTGGCATGAAAAGAACTGAGATTGTTTGCTCGAACTGCGGGGGACATCTGGGTCATGTGTTTAAGGGCGAGGGGTATAAGACTCCGACGAATGAGAGGCATTGTGTTAATAGTATTAGTTTGAGCTTTACGAAGGATGAGGGGAAGCTGAGTAAGGACGGTAAGAAGGAGGGAAGGGAGGGGGAAACAAGCAAGTGAGAGAGAGATGGGGAGTATATGTATATTGGTATGTTTTGAACTGGAGTGCGTTTTTGGAACATGGTTAAGATGGGATTGATTCTTTGGAGATGAGTTTACGTTGGATGGAAGGGTACAATCTGCTTCTATTTCTATATATATATATATATATATATATCTAATACCCTTTGTTATGCAATATTTGGATTGAATATTGTTTGGATATAATTAATTACAACAATCCTTTTTTCTATGTCTGATATTCACTGTGCTGGAACATCTTGGAGTATATCTGGCACGTGACTTGGATCCATTCACAGATTAGTCATCCTCTTTTCCACATTTTCCATGCCTAATCGGGATGGCAAGTATCGTCACCTCCATGTTCAACCTCCAACACTTCTTTTCACCATCTTCAGAAACAAAATATCCAAAACTAAATCTTAATCCAAACTTGAATACTACATGCATCCCTTCTATTCTGGCTAATCCTCAACTGCCTCCTTTTCCCTCCTCCTCCTCCCCCCCTGGATAGAGATAGCACAACTTACGCCTACCACACGACCAACTTATTGTTCTTCCCCTCCTTTCTCTAGAAAGCGATCAATACTTTGGCCCAAATAACCCCCAACCTTCTCCCACACTCGCGGCCGAATTATGTCGTCGAGACGAGCAGCTAACCCGGCAGCTGAACGGGCCGCAAAGAACCAACTGGTGATTAAGAATCTTCTTAAATTGGAATGCAATAAGACTTGTGCGGATTGCAAGCGGAATAAACGTATGTTCCAGGATCCCTACTTGTTTCCCTGTTAGCCTGCCTGTTTTGCATATTACAAACCGCTGACTGTTAAAAACGCCCCTATCTGTGGAATGAACAGATCCGAGATGGGCCAGCTGGAATATCGGCGTTTTCATTTGCATTCGTTGTTCGGGCATACACAGGGGTATGGGAACACACATTAGTCGAGTCAAGTCCGTCGATTTAGACTCTTGGACGGATGAACAATTGCAGAGCGTGCTCAAATGGGGAAATGCTAGAGCAAACAAGTTTGTTTATCCCACCTACTCTCTGTTTTCAGAGCCTCCCGGTTGAAACGGAGAAGCTTATCAGCAGCGGTGATGTTAACTGTAAACTCTTACGACTCTAGGTACTGGGAAGCAATGCTTGCGCCTGGGCACATCCCGTCAGAATCGTATGTTAATGTCTTCCACCAACCTTGCCACTCGATAAAGGCTGAAATATCATGTCAACTTGAAGTAATGTTCTAATCCGCTGTCTAGGAAAATGGAGAATTTCATTCGAACCAAATACGAGTCGAAGCGGTGGGTCATGGAAGGACCAATGCCTGATCCGTCAACCCTTGATGTTGACGAAGGTGATGACAATACCGTGAGTCCCTACCAAAATGCAAGGTTGCTGTATCCATCTTCTTCCTTTGATTACTTGCTTAATTTTGTAGCCATTGGCCGTTGTTCAGGAGAAAGCCAAGTTAGAACGATCTGCCTCTCAGCGCGCATTGTCAACAGTGAGCCAACAAGCACCCGGTCGATCTGGGCAACCAGTGAATTTATTCGACGATGATACCCCAACCCCTCCTGAGAGGCCTAATACCACAGATTTGCCTGGTGTCCGCCCGCCAACTGTCTCGTCTAAACCTGCTCCTGCCCTCTCTTCCAAAGCGGGAAAACCGGCAGATTCATTGCTTGGGCTGGATTTCTTCGGCTCTTCCCAGCCTGCTGCAAACCGCCCATCTAGTACTCCGTCTTCTAATCCAGGATCCACGGCTTCAAGGCCCGACCTCAAACAATCCATTTTATCTTTATATGCATCGGCTCCAAAGCCTCAATCCCCACTGCAGCACGACCAAAATACGTCATTTGAGTCTTTTTCAGCGCAGCCACAGCAACAGCAACAACCAAAACCACAGACTGATACCTTTGGTGGACTTACCGATGCGTTTAGTGGCTTGAGCTTCCCAGCTACCACCTCTACTCCTTCTCCTCCTCAGAGACACGATGCATTTCCCAACCTCGGATCATTCAGTGCTCCAAAGTCTCCTCCTGCCCCGCAAAAAATATCTTCCCTGTCAATGGGCGGAGGTGGTTTCTTTGATACTCCTGCTATGTCATCGGCTCCTAAGCCACAACAGACGGGAACTCCGTCCATGTCGTCTGGTCATGATTTTAATTTTGTGGGAGCTACAATGGGATCAACGAAGTCAGCAGCAGCACCTCCCATGACCTCCACAGGTGCTTTTGACCTGTTTTCTTCTCCGTCAATTACTTCTAGCAATATCGCACCCGTAGTTTCACCAAAACCAGAAAACGTAAACTCTGTATTCAACCTTTCAGCACCTGCAAATGCTCCCGTACCACCTGTGTCTTCTCCTACCAGCACTGTCAACGTTAGTAGTGTGCACTCAAACAGTGCCGTTGAACCTTGGGGGGGCAATGACTGGAATACGATCGAATCCACCACGACCACTAAGCAAAATCCTTCATCCACGATGAAGGTCCCCGATAAAATTACCGCCAATGACTTTGGCTCCGGGTGGGGTTCATCAACTACAGCTTCCTCTAATAAGCCCACCCCCACCGTTTCTGCCGATGAAGATTTCGGCGGATGGACAAGCGTCTCGCCTCCAGCGCCGACAAGTACCAGTACCGTTTCAAAACCCAAGTTGAGTGGTGGATTTGCGGGAAGTGATGATTTGTTTTCTAATGTATGGGAGTGAAATATCTGTCATTTTGGATTTCTTTCCCTTTACGCAAACCAATGTCTCTAGATATTTTCTACGTATGCAATTGATTCATGTTGGTTTGGGTTGGAGCAAGCAAAATTTAGCATTTCCGATTTTTTTTCACTTGCATCTAGATTGTGTTTGTCAGCCTCCTCGCCCTCCTTTTTTTTTTTTTTAAGTATTTTTGCGTTTTGTTTATTAATCAAGTAATTTGTTATATTTTTCCTGGACAAGCAAAACTTCAATCAAATTCATTCATATACTTCGTTCTTGAGGCTGCTTTACTTAACATTGGCCTCCGGTCGTTATTCCTGCTGGTGACTGGTTACATTTAATTCCTATGTCGGATTTCCCATGACCCCACCTGGGCCTGTAGTGATCATTTACACCTGGCTTTCATATTGTGGCACGTATTGCGGCACGCCACAAAATGGGTTACTCTTATTAGAAAGACCACGGGACGTGAAGGATATTATACGGATTGAAGTCTTTGTAGCAGTGCGGAATACTCCAAAAGGAAATTGCACAAACCAGAATTTCATGCACCACAAACAAATAACCAGTTAACCAATGAAATGCAGAAGAAAACAGTTTAAGTACATAGCCTAAGAAAAGAAAATTATTCAGCTAGCGACGTAAATTAAATTCCGCAGGGTAACAATATGAATACTTGCTGATGGAAACGAAGAGCAAATCAATATATATAAACAATCCCGAATCCTAGCCCTAAGCAGTCAACTATTTATATACATGGCTTCCAAACACACCATTAACACCGGATGAGACACTTAACGCCAAACCGTGCACATAGGCAGTAAAATTAAGCTCGTTACCGAAGAACGACTTATGCGACATGGGGCTCTCGGCGCCCAGCCCTAGGTATCTAGATAGCACGAAAACGACTTAGCAACCATGATCGACGGTGGATAGAAGCTCAAAATATCCATCCCAGAATAAGCCACAGAGCAAACCCGATGACGACAACAATCCCCGCTACCTTCGTTATGGCAATTCGATCCCCTTGTTTCGCCATGCGCGTTAAGCGACCGGCACTTCCTCTGATATTTGTCGACAGGGACGAGAAGACTTCGCTCTGTTATTTTGATATTGCGAGTTAGTTCTGTATTTTTCGAGTCAAGGTGGTTTACGCAGTCTGTCATCAACAAACACGTGGGTGAGGAGGTGGGTACCACGAACAGTGTTCTCGATTGTATTATGATCCTTGGCATTGTCGTATATATCGATTGTGACTGATTTCAACGCCCGTGTCTTTTGCGCCAGAGCATCTAAGAGCGCATTGTTTTGTCTGGTTGTAGTTGAGGCCTTGTGGTTAGCTGGTGGTTTCTTTATTTGGTTTCAAGTCCTCCACTGCGTAGGCTATGGTGGGTGAGCAGCAACGGCCAAAGGGGGAAATGGGTTGGTGGGGGGGAACCTACTGCTCGCGCACGTATGCGTCACTCATGTTGCAGAGTGGAGGCGAAAGAACGATATTAGATCAACCCGTCTCTCTCTGTAGCTTTGTATGGCAAGCTGGCTCGCCTTTCTTCTCTTTGTTCTTTCCCTCTCTCTCTCTCTCTCTGTATCTCTGTGATGATATGGTGGATATTCACAGTATCGTTCGCTTTCTCCGCTGCAATTCTGAGAGTTGGCTGCGCAGAAAGCCTTGTTCGTTGAAAATGGTCGCTAGTATGCCGCTCCCGTTGTAAATAACCTTGGGTGTATACGAGATCGGGTTCTACCGAGGTAAGGGTATCCCGATATTCCTTAGTTATAGGTTTCCGTGACTGTATGGGTCTCAAAGGTTGAGAACTATGTCATTGGGACTTTGTATGTTGGAAATCGAGTTATCAGGTGATCAAAAGTTAAGGAGAGTGGAACGAATGAATGATGCAGCCTGATTGAGGCTGATCATGTGACATTTAGATGATGACTAAGCTTCAGAAAAGGGGTTTCGTAATTATAATTATCACCTAGTTAATTAGTACGGAGTATGGTCAAAAAGGATAAACATTGGAATATATTGATGATGTCAAGAGCCGTTCACTCGAACATCTATAAGCATAGATTGACCCTATATAATTACATGTCTAAACATGGAAATAAAAGATCTTCAACGCTCCGCTTATCATCCAAACGTGTGTCGTTCGAAATTGTAAAATAAAAAGCAGCTTAGAAATTGCAACGGGCGTGCTACCAAATACGGCCCTAGCACTTCCTTATCGAGCAAAATGACGAAGTCATTAGAGAAAAGAGAATGAAGGCTTGAAAGGTAAAGGCGAAGGGTTTTATACAAATCAAGGCGGAAGAAGGATAATCCGGGCGTAAACAAAGCTAAGAAGGATAGTTCCAGGTAAGCAGTTGTGGTTAAAACGGTTAACTATCAACCGGGCATTAGCCGATTTACATCATCCCCTCCCTTTCAGAGGCTCATTCAGCGGCTCATTCAGCAGATTGGCTGCTGCGGTGATTGGTCATAGTTAGTTATTGATGATAATCTCTACATGAGAAAGTAGATTATTTAGTCATTTTATATATAATTATAAAACTTTTAAGGAATACTTTTAACTATTTAAATTACTTAGTCTTTTTATCAACCTTAGAATATATACCCAGTATTTTATCTTGAAAAGTTGATAGATATAAAATTAAATTTATTAGTAATTAAATAAAACTAGTTAAAAAAGTTTTTTATTAATTATTATTAAAAGTTAATAGATTTCAAAGATTTCTATACTTTTTTTATAAATTCAGAATCTTTTTATTGAAAAATTATAATTATCTTTTTAAAATTTATAAAGTATATATATATTTAATGTAATTCATCATCTAACTGAACATATTATCTAACTACATACCTCTAATTTGAATTTTTCACATTCATTATATTATTCAATATGTCAATCACCTCAAGTAAAAAAGCTTCAAATCAAGAAGGAAGACTATTATTGTAGAGGGTTAAGCTCTAAGAACTAGAGGCTAATTCTCCTATATAACAAGGATGAATTGCTTGAGAAAGGGAAGAAAAGAATGAGATGAGAACACAAGCTTAAGTGAGCTCATGTAGCATGATCATATGCACACATGCAAACAATGACTAGGCTGAGTCAGCCAGTCAGAGTGAATCTAAAGGTTCAGCCTCTTATAATACCCCTCTTCTCCCTCTTTGTTGCAGGTCTTTATGACTATTTAAAGCCCTCTTTACATCTAATTTTGTCTGCTGAGAGGCCTCCTAAGCATTCAAAGCCTTTATTTCTTGTAGAAGACTTGTGTCATTTCATGTAGGCTCAGCCCAACCTATCTATTTAACAAGGTATTGTTTTTTCCTCTGGTAGGTTCATTCATCTCAAATTTCCTCAATCTCAAACTCAGGTCCTTCTATGATCTCTATAGTAGGTGACTGCCAGTCAGTTTATCTTTGACTAAACAGGGGATTCATCACCATAGCATGTAGAAGCTTTATGTTAAAGACATTGTGAATGTTAGATGAGACATTCAGTTGATAAATGTGAAATTCTATCTTTTCTAACATAGTATATTGATTGTATTTCATGTTCAGCTTCTTGCACAGATGATTAGTTCTCATATTCTCTAAGCTCAACCAGACCTTATCTTTAGATTGAAAGCTTAAAGTCAGATCTCTTCATCTATTTGCATAGTTCTTTTGAGATTGCTGAGCATTCATCATTTTTACTTAAGTTCACTTCAACACTTCATGAGTCTTTCTCATATAATCATGTGTAAACTCAATGAAATTATATGATGTTTCAACAGAGAGTGCATCAGCTATATTAATGAAGAAGATGTGAAAAAGATATGTTAAAAAGAATGAGCTCATGCCTGTTGAGACAGTATTTCTATTATTGATGATCAGCTCTGCTAGAGAAAGTCATTCACATCAGTCATTCTGTTGAAAGCTAATATACTTGTGTAGATAGATTTTCAGAATCTGATTCATTTACTCTGTAGCTTCATCAGTCTCTGAGTAATAAACTGTGAAGAGTTGTCTCTTAATGTCTAATTTTTCATATATCTGAGTTCAAAACATGCTTGTGAAAGCTGATTCTCAATCTGATACTACTGTCTTAGAAATGCTATGTCAAGAAATGATGTTGTGAAGGAACACTCTAATCACTGTCTTCACATTAGTTTTCTTAACTACTTTTAATATAATTTTCTTGATTAGTCTGTCTGTTATAATCATGATGTTTATATATTTTTTAGAGCTTGATAAGTTCACAATAAAGTCAATAAAAAGCTCTTACCACATGCATTCAGAAATAAGAAGAGGCTTAAGCAGTCTCTGACATCAATCTCTTTATACAGTGTTTGATCTGTAAAGATGACAGTTTCTGATCATTCTTCTCACATTGATGACATAGCCTGGCTAATAGAACTCACATCTTAGAACTTCTGCTATTTGCTCTCACCCAGGATGACTGTTAAGAGATGAGTCATGAGCCTCATATACTAACCTGATTCAAAGAGGTTTGAAGTCTGACACTCACTTATGATCTCAAAAGAGAAGCTCTTTGTTCTCATTTAAAGAGCACTCAGAGACAGAGGCCTTAATGCTGAGTTTAGAAGAAAATCTGAATCTTTTCTCATGAAGAGTCTGCTTCAGACACTGCAGAATCTTATTATTTTTATGAGTTTTATTTCACTGAGCTTGAAGAGATATCTCAGGTTTCACACTGACAGCAGTTACTTTTGATTTCATTTCAGATATCAGTACATTAAACTTAAGTAGTTAAGCTTGTCTTTGCTTGATTCTCTCATCATCAGCACTCTATGACATGTTCTGCTCTCTTCATGATAGAGTGTCTGATTCAATGTTCAACTTCTCTGACTGATAATTAATTCTGAAGTTGAATTGATAGAGAATATTCATTCAATATAGCTATCTTTTATTTAGTCTGTGTGTAGTCATAAAGTATTCTAGATTCTTATGATCTGTGAGAATCTTGAATTCCTTTACACTTTGTAGCTCAGCATTTCATTTCTTTAAACACTCAATTATTGCTAATAACTTCTTATCATGAATCTCATAGTTGCATTCCGCAGGTGAATGCTTGTGAGAGAAGAAGGCACATGAGTGTAGAATGCTCTGCTCATTATATTGTAGCAGCACTTCTTCTGAGACATAACCTGAGAAATCTGTTTTCAATATAGTCTCACAGTCAGAGTCAAATTAAAGTAGGATTGAAGTGGAGATAAACATTGATTTTAGACACTTAAAAGCTTCCTCAGCCTTGCTCATCCACAAAAAAGAAACATTCTTATATGTAAGAATCATCAGTGAGATCATGATCTTTGAGAAATCCCTGATAAATTGTCTATAGAAATTGACAAAGCCTAAAAATCCTTGTACATCTTTAAGAGAAGTAGATGTCATTCATTTCAAAACAGCTTTAATCTTCTCTGAATCTATTTGTATATCCTTGCTCACTTTAATGATAAATTCAAGATATTTTATACTATTTATCTCAAACTTACTCTGTCTGATGTCTGCCTGCAGACCTGCTTTTCATAGACATAGAAGCATCTTTTGTATGTGCTTATGATGCTCCTGTAAACTTCTTGAGGAAAATATCAAGATGTTATCTAAATAGACTGAGCAGAAGTCATTCAGATATTTATATAATGCCCAGTTGATATATTTTTGAAATGTGCTTGAAGTATTGGCCAAACCAAAGGGTGTAATCAGTCACTTAAATAGCCTGTATCTGGTTCTAAAGGTTGTCATCCACTCATCACCTTCCATGATTCAAATCTTGTGAAAAGCTGCAATAATATCCAGCTTAGTGAATCATTTAGCCTGTTCAATTCACTGTAAAGTCTCACTGATTAATGGTAGAGAATATCAATCCTTTCAGGTGATTTTGTTAAGAGCTTGATAGTTTATACAGAATCTTAGCCCACTCCCAGGCTTCTTCATGAATAGTACAGGAGCGGCTACAGAGGAGTTGCTCACTCTAATAAAACCCTTATCTAGATAATCTGTAAGAGTCTTTCACAAAGCCAGTAGTTCCTCTTGAGACATATTATATAATAGGCCTCAAAGGGGTTGTTTCATGCTACTATCAGCCTTTTTAATCAGTTCAATTCCATGATCTCTATCTGAGCTACAAAGTGGGGGTAGAGCATTAGCGGCTTCCTTATTAAATACATTCAAAAACTCATGATAATGTTCAAGTAGCTTTTCTCTAGGGTCAATCTTTGATTTCACTTCTAGAGCCTTTTGAATGTCAGTCAAACTGACAGTGAAGATCTCAATGTTTTGCTTCTCTTGAGTGCTCACAAGCCTAGAGAAGCTTATGGCAGAGATGGGAATCATATCAGCTTTTGCATTTGAACTAGGCTCTACCTCTATGCCACTCTTTTCAAATCTCACAATTCTTCAATGAGGGATCACAGTCACCTTTTGCTGGGCCAGCCAGGGGTTACCTAGATACATATCATGACTATGTAACCCATTCACCATGTAGAGAAAGGCCTGTTCAGTTATGTGACCACCTATATCAATTTGAATACCAGTCACTATGCTCATAGAGAGTCTCATGAAGTCTTCAAAGCTGGTCATTTTAACAGAGAGAATTTCAATGCATAGAAGCTTATACTTGTTAACATAGGATTGAGAAATAAGACTATAGATATTACATTCACTATCTATCATTGCTTTAGTTGAAAAGGCATTATCTACTAGAGCATTGATAGTGAAGGATTTGAATATCATCTTAGATTTAAATCTTCTCTATTACTTCTTCATAAGCTTCTTATTTCACTTCTTTTAGTGTCTTTTGATTGGAGCTACTCTTTTCCTGAATTCTTGCTCATATCTACATTATCATCATTCAGTACTAGCTCAGAAATCACCTTAGCTATCATGAAGATGGCAGAGTATCTGAGAGATTTGAATGAGCAGCTTTTAATTATATGATCTTCAGCTCTGCATCTCAGGCACAGGCCTTGCTCTCTTTATTGATTAATCTCTGTCTAATTTATCAATTTGATATGGTGAGCACTTGAGATCAGAGCATCAGAAGAGAGATTCATCAGATTATCAGCAGAAGCTTGAGACTGGTTTTATCAATCAAGAACAGCATGATGAAGTAAAGAGTGTGAATTAAATGTCATATGATCTGAAAAAGATCTGCTTTTGCAATGTTTAGACCATTGTCTTAAAGTCTTAAGCTCAGAGAGTTGATGATTAACTAATCTAAGCTTCTTGCAGTAATTCTCATAAATAGATGATTCTCTTACACTCATCATGCCTTCTCTCAGCTCCATGCTTAGAGTGAATTTCAAATACTTTTTTTTAACATGATCATTTCATCTGTGATCACCAGCTTTCAGCAGTAGCTGATTAAATTCAGACAGAAAGTCAAAAAGAGCTTTTCTATTCTATTGTAGATTGTTGAGCTTTTGCATAGTCTTTTTCTATCATGCAGAATCACTAAAGAGCATGTGTGTCTGCTTCAGTAAGCTCTCTACTATGAAGTTGATCTTATTCTTATTATTCTCAACTCAGAGGTAAACTTGAGCTGCTGCTATTTCTTTCAGTCTTAAGTACACATATCAAGTACATTTCTTATTATTATCTAAAGCTTTCTCATTGATTTTAAGTTTTGATTAAAGCTTTAGCTCTCACTGAGAGTAGTGCTTCAGATTAGAATCATCATACTTCTCACAATCTGATAGCTTGGTCTTTGGTCTTCTAACTGCAATAAATGATTGCAGATTTGATTGAGAGAGAGTTGATGTTAAGATGTTCAAAGCTTGTTGTTGATTAGCTATTTCAGCTTGCTGAGCTGCTATTAAATCTCTGTTCTCACACTGAACCTGTTCCTGCTGTTGAAGAAAGACCATTCATTGTTGTTCAAAGCTGCTGAGGGTATCCTTGCTCATTGCTTCATATTGATTTATTTATGTATTTGTTGTACAAGTCTGCCACTTTATCTTGTTCAGCTAGATGTTTTCAATGTTGCTCATTTGTTTGTTAGCACAATTGCTAACTTAGTCTATTCATATACCAGTACTATCACTGAACTTTGTGATGCAGGATTTAAGGCTTTCAATAACCTATCATATGTCAGCATGTTTGTTGAGCTTCATGATACAGAATTAAGGCTCTCAGTGACCTATCAATGAAAGGAGTGAAGCAATTCATAATGTAGAGGATTAAGCTCTAAGAACTAGAGGCTAGTCCTCCTATATAACAAGGATGAATTACTTGAGAAAGGGAAGAAAAGGATGAGATGAGAACATGAGCTTAAGCGAGCTCGCGTAGCATGATCACATGCGCATGTGCAAACAATGGCTAGGCTGAGTCAGCCAGCCAGAGCGAATCTAGGGGTTCAGCCTCTTATAATTATTAATCATTAAAGTCTATGAAACAGAGCAAATTTCATCTATTCAAGCTGCTGCTAAGGTGTATCATGTCTCTCATAGCACTGTAACTAATAGAGTGCATGATGTAGTCTCACATGTGAATTCTTAGCTAAAACATCAAAAACTGACCTCTATAGAGGAAGAATTTTTAATTCAATGAGTAATATTTATAAATGAGAAAGGATAGTCTTCATGAATTACAACTATATGAGAAATGATCAATTTACTACTTATAGAGTATGAATCTAGTTGCTCTACTACTATAGAAATCAACTGAGTTCACAGATTCATACAATGACATTTTGAATTAAAGACTAAGTTCTCATACAAATATGACTATCAGTAAGCTCTTTGCAAGGATTTAAAGCTTTTACATAAGTAATTTATATTGATGAATCATATAATAAAGAAGTATAATATTCTGTCAGAGAATATGTACAACTTTGATGAAATTGACTTCATAATGAGAATTATTTCAACAATTTAAATGATTACTAGAGTTGAGAGAGATTGCAGATCATCTCTCATACAGTTAAAAAATAGAGAATGAGCAACTATAATTGAAACAGTTAATACTACAGACTGAGCTTTATCTTTTATGATTATATTGAAGGTCAAGCTTTATTAAAATTTCTGATATGAGCAACTATCAAAAAACTAGAAAATTGATAATAGTGAGAAGAATTAAATCACAAATAAGTTTAATTTAACCTGACTGTGAAAGATATTTAACAAAGCTACTAAAATTCATATGATTGATAGTAAAAAACTGTTAATTTTAAATAAATATAATAGTCATATCATAGTTAAATTTGACAAGTTCTACCTGAATCACAGTATTATAATATTATATATATCTTCTTACTTCTTTCATCTACTGCAGTCAGTAGATATGAGCTGCTTTTTATCATTAAAGAAAGTATACAATAAGAAGATAAAGTAGAGTATAAGATTAAGAATTAATTATATTAATAAGAAGAAATTTTTAATTAGTTATACAGTATTTAGATAGAAGATCATAAAGAATACTACTATAAAAAATAAATTCAAAGTTATAGGTCTAGTGTTATATAATTCAAATAAGATCTTTATCTGACTATGTACTCAATTTCTTATCTCTATCCTTCCAGGGTCAGCTTATAGATCTCAGCACTTCTGAACTTATAAAATTCTCAATAATATAATTCAATTGAAGCAGCAGAGCAGCAGGATTAAATATCATATAGAGATTCTTTCTAGTTCTATCAATCAGGCTATTGATCAACTATTGAAGAGATGTCAAATGACTATGTATAATGCTATTCTACTAGCAAAGGAAAATGCAGAGCTAAAAGCTACCAATACTAAGCAAAAGTGAAAGAAAGAGAAACTATATTTCTATATAGTTAAAAAAAGATTCTAACAGCTTAAAAGATATTAGTTAATAAGGTTCAGGCTCAGAAGCCTAATCAGTCTACTGAGAAAATGATTGAGAATTTGAACCTGGGGATTAGAAAGTGAAGACCTCTCAACTGCAGGAAGTATAATATCTCTGAATATAATATTATAGCATATTTATAGATATAAAAGTCTATTCTATATAATTTCTATATAGAATTTCTTATAGTTCTTGTTTAATTTAAAAGTTTATCAAATATATGTGAGAGAGCTGTCTAGTTAAATGATATGTCTAGTTAGATGATAAATTATATTATACCAGTATTTAAAAATTAAATTTAAATAGATTATAGATTTCATTTTAAATTTCTATTTATTTATATCAATTTTTAACTCAGATTTTAAAGTATATTAGAACTTTGATAAAAGTATTTTTAATATTTAATTCATAAGCTATTACTAAAAAACAAAATGTTAACTATTTATAAATACTATAATAGTTTTATTCAGAAGATTCTATTAAATAGATAATATATTTTTAAAATATACTTAAGATATTTATAAGATAAAAAAGGTCTTAACTCATTTAAATAGTTTATATTATATATATGAAAGACTGTTAGCTATTTATTTTTTATTAATTCAAGTCTTGTAAAAGAGAATTGAAATGCAATAGACTAATGCCTGATTGATAACCTTTGTAATCAAACTGCTTATATCAGATTATTTTTCTTCCTTCTTGACTTGTATAAACTTTGCGCTCATTTTCTTAGCCTTTATTCTCCTTTCTTTTCTCCTTCTAATGAATTCGTCTTTTTGTTCTATAAGGAAGTGTTAAGGCCATATTCGATAACACATCTGGTATAGAAATTTTAAGATATATAACTATATTACTTGGCTATACTAGGTAATTCATTTTAAAATGTTTCATTAATAAGTAAATGTAAGTTTTTAGTTTAAGATTTAATTGAGAACTGATGAGAAGTTATTAACTATATAAATTTTTATAATTGACTCATTGAGTGGTTTTTAAATAATTAAAAGTTCATCACAAAATATACTATATTGTAAGTCTGGGTCAAGCTTTTTTTAAAAAAATCTTCTAGATATCAGTCATGCTAATAGCAAAAATATTGATTTTCTTTTTCTTTTTATACATTTAACTAGCTAGCGCATCTTCGTTTCAATCCCCCCGGTACCTCTACATGGCTGGTTGCCTCCTCATCTCTGATGACATGGGGGTTCTGAGTTCTGATGTTTCCTCAATATCCCTGGTGAAATCCTTCGCCCCCGCAATCTCTAATGTGACCATTGCATACTGCAGTCCCAGTGTGATGTGTTGCAGAGTCGTCACCTAAATGAGGGTAGTCTCGATAGTTTGCGTAAAATCTCCGGCAACACTCCGATACCTGACAAAACACCACAATATATCACAAGATGTCGGAGAGAATATCTAAATCCTCCGAGATAAGTTTCCCCCGTGCCATTTCTTGCTTGGCATTGCACATACTATCGTAAAAGTTCGAATAGAGTGAAATGAAGCCATTCATCGCTGCTTTCAGCGCCTGCGGTTTCTTATCTTTTGGTACAGCTCTTCCCTCTCTTGCAGCCGATTACTGTCGAAACATTATATTTCCATGGGCACTGTGTCCGTTCTGCGTAGCAACCTGTTTTAACTTCCATCGTCAACCCTTTTCGCTGCTTTTCACATTCGCTATCTGCGAATCCAGCAGCTAATTTACCACTTTGGGATACGGTTGTATACCATGGAATAATTTGGCCCTACTCGCCACCGGGTGTATTATAGGGGAAACGACTGTCGTGGTCGAGAAACCGAGTATGAATGCGAGAGTAACTTGCTTCTCCATTCGCAGTCCGGCCGACAATACTATGATCTGACGTGACTGCGTTATTACGACAGTAATAAAATATGGAGAATGTGATCATTTACTTTTGTAACTCTGATGGCCGATAATTTCTGAGGGTGTTGCAAATCCTCCTGTTGAGTTGTAGTTAAACAGACCGAAATTATTTTGGAACGGATGGTAATGGGGTGCACACCAAATATCACAAAACCAGATTGCTGAAATCACCCATGCACTACTATTGTAGTTATCCATTTTTGATCTTGTGGCTAGCATCCGCTGGTGTTGAATGTTCTCGGACTTATGACAGCGCTGTAAGCCCCAGGCATCCCAGTGAATTGAGGCAATACACATGGGAAGAACATTGAACATTATGATTTTCATAAACATTGCTCGCGGATTCAGCCATTGCGAGAGTGTCACCATGACGGCAGCGAAAAAGTACCCGTAGGGCCCGACAAGGTTTGCAACTGCATTGGACTGATATCTATGTTTAATTGTAAAGAATTGTCAACCAAAGAGAACAGCATGCTGAAATTACAAGGGAGAGGATGTTTTCAAGAAATTTAAATGAGAAAGAAAAAAAAAAAAAAAAAAAAAGTTAACTTACATTGCCAAAGCAACCATGGGCGCTACTCCTCCCATATAATAATCATCAAGAGTGTGATGTGCCTGTCGATCCCTAACGATGCATAGATTTGTTGTGGAGCTTAATTGACCTAAGTTGACGTGCATTTTCTTTTTTTTACCCTATAATATTTCTTCTACTTTGTCTCCCTTCTTCCTGAACTTTGTTTAATTGCTTTTTCACATGGCAAAATTCGCACCCGCAATACCCTATTTCATTCTCATCAGTTCTACCCTCAGCAACTCAGTTCAGACACGAGATGATACCCCATTGTATCTATTGTACGTAGGTAGAACTGACGTCAGTACCCATTCAAGCAAATGAATACCTGAATTAATGTTGTTAAGTTCAACTTCCTGCTCATTAAATATGTAGAAAACTGTATGTAGATTGGTTAGCAGCGTATCGGGGACGCGGGGGAGGGACCGGGTGGGTACAAGAGGGAGTTCACTAGTCTTTCCACGGTGGGGGCAATACATACAGAATGTATGTACACTTTTGGCTGTCTCCTATCAAACTTCGAGAAATCGGGCATTAAGGGAAACATATTGTCAAAATTGTCATCCAAAAACCAAAAAGTAGAAGAGAAGAAAGTTAAAAGAGGTAGCGGGATGATAAGCTTTGTTCCTGCAACCTAAATACATCGATGAAAAACATACAGTGTGTGGAATTATGGAAGAAATCCAGAAGCGAACCGCGAAAATTATAATAACACTGTAGAGTTGACGGTGAGCAAAGGCCACTAGAGGCAGTAGCGGCTATTAATGGATTTCGAACTTCAAAGAGAACTTTCAAAACGAAAGAGATACCTAGCTAGTGAGGAATGGAGAGAAGGGATATGAAAACACGCCAAAGGTAAGGCGCAACAGATCGCGTCGAGCGGAACACTGAATGCCATATGATTGGCGAAGGCTAAAATGCCGAAAAGGAGAAGTCGCATTGCTAGCGCAGCTTGAAACAAAGTATATATATAAAAGGAACACCAACTAAAATGTAGACGGGAAAGTGATAAAAGACAGGTGAGAGGTGGAATAAGAGACTTTAAAAGAACACACGAAGCCGCCGCTATGCCATCGACAAAAGAAAGTGAAGAAATGGTAAAATAATGTATACATCGTGATTAGCATGACGGGCTAAACAAGAGATCGAGTGTCCAAAAATCTAACCAGAACAGCCAACCATATTTGAGGCCGTGGTTCAGTGTGCGTGCTACGCTCCATGTAAAGTGGAATCGATTCTAAGTAATGAAGACGTGTATTGAATGTTAGGAATAAGATTGGGTGATAAGACAGTTGCAACGTATATGGAAGAGGAAATATGGGGTATAAATTTAGGTGCGACAAATTGCTAGGACAAGGAACGCACGGGACGATTGAAAGTGCGGATGTGGTGGGCACTCGCTAACCCCCTCCTTCCTTTTTTTTGTTTCTTTTCTTTTCTTTTCTTTTTCCCCTCTCTCTCCATTGTTTGCTGAATCACATAGGCTAGCTTATGTTACCACATATCGTCGTCGTCGTCAAGTTGTGGATCATCGCCAAACGAGGAATGCGACGCGTACTGCGGTGGCTGGTGACCTGGTCCGTAAATAGAGCCATTTTGGGAGTGGCAATGTCCCCCAGACAGTGACCATTGGTGGTCATCTCGGTCATCGCCATCATAGTCATACATTTGGGAATCGTTATAGTAATTGCCTTTGTTGTAGCGGTCATGATCGCGACCCTGCGATAAGTAAGGTTAGACAACTATCCGCGCTATTTGAAAACTCACAAATACTCACCTGTTGATATCTCTGATATTGGGAATGGTCCTCAGACTGGGTCGGTTCCATTTTACGCTGCTGGTTTTGCAAAGCAGAGGGCCCCAGACTTAAGGTAGGGTGCATCTGCTGTACTTTGGCGAGATATGAATACATAAAATTGCTCAAGAGAACTTGAGAATGTAGTGGGCGCTTCGGATTTGCAAGCTTCCAATGAGCGTCACGGTAGATTTCTCTTTCTTTAGCGATAGGAAACCTGGTCCAGTGGTAGTCGATATCTGGCTTCAACTCACGAGGCAGTGTCTCTGGTGAATAATTCCTTCCCGAATGTTTTCTGTGACCGCTATCATGATGCCCCTTTTTCTTGCCCCCAAAAAAGGATGAGAATAGGCTTGTTTCCTTCTCCTTCTTCTGTTCGATGCCCAAAGTTTTCTTTGCGTGGTCCTTACGGCGTTCTTCTTCAAGCTTAATTTCTGCACGGTCGATAATAACACTTTCCCGGCCTTTCTGTGCTCCTTCAATGGAAGTTTGCAGAACATCTAGGCGAGTATTGTCGTGTGCCTTTTCGGTTATCTTGGGTAATCTGCTTTTGGATTTCTTAGAATCTTCCTCCTTTTTCTTCTCCTTATCCTTCTCTTCAGAGCCGCGAAGCCAAGTCCAACTTGATTTTCGGCTACTCTCTCCATCCTTTTTATCTTTAGACTTCTTCGAGTCCGACCTTTTATTGGAGTGATCTGTTAGTGTTGGGATGAAGGATAGCGTATCCGTTTTTGTGGTATTTCCAGGCAGTGCTGCTTGGTGGGAGGCGATTTCATTTACGGCTTGAGCGCTTTCTCGGGGCTGTTTGATTAATGCGGCCCGTTTGGAGTTTCTACTTCCTGCTGGCTCTGGAGGTAACGGTGTCTGCGGAGGCTGTGAAGGAGGTGGATCGTGCGAGGATTTGCGAGCGGGAATATGACTTTGTGTCGAGGTGAGCGGCGATGTAGGTGCCGACTCTTTCGAGTCGGTTGGGTGAGTTTCAATAATTTGAGGTACATTCTGGCCTGCAGTGGGTGTCTCCGATATTCGTTGACCACTGTGGTCAATCTGAGATGACCAAGTCTGTGATTGCGAGGAGGAAAGTGATCTGGGGCCGGAGCTTGAATGATCTGAAGTAGCATCTCTTGGTGGGTCAAACGCGCTGATGCCGTGAGTGGCAGTGCTAGAGGTGTCCGGTTGTGTGCGGGTAACTGGCCGCGAATAACCCGATGCCCCAGGTCCATGCACTGGGTCAGTTGAAACCCTGGTCAGTCTCAGAATTGGAAGGTCTTCTTCATACGAAGGTGATGACCGTTGGGGCATGGCTTCAGCGTCCGAATTGGAATTCCGCGGTGCCCGTCTCGAATACGGGATCCGCTCCCCTGTCTTTAAACTCCCTCTACGATAAGTTGTTCGCGTCGATCTTCGTAAGCTGTGACCTGGCGGGGCGGGTGGCAGAATGGGTTTGTCGTCCAGCATTAAATCGTTACCATGCCCTTGTACAGTAGAGGGCTCTTCTGATACTGCATCCAGCCCACCCTCTTCATTTTGACTTCCGGAACCTGACGTGTCGATCTGTCTTGATAACATGGATTTCTTCCTTCGTAGCCCCCCAGTCGAGCCCTGTATTTGTAGCCCTGAGTCAGTCATGGAAAGCTCGCCAGACCTTCGTTTTAACTGCTCTGCTTTGCCATCGAGGAAGCTTTTAAATTCCTTGGGCGCTAAGCCAGGGTGCAGGCGCGCAGGGACCCAAAATAACTGCGACGCATCATTACTGTCGGACGGGGAGGAGGGCGGAACCGGGGGCACTCCGAAATTAGCGCCGAAAGAAGGGAAGTCTGGATCAGCAGCTCCCACATCCAATGACATCCTCCTTAGTGCCGCGAGGTTGTTAAGCTCCTGGGCCACAGCAGCAGGATTGGATTCATAGTCTATGTCATCGAGCGGGATAGATTTCGAGGTCTTCGATGAGGGGGAGCGCGTCAGCGCCGACGAAAGCTGTCCTCCATTCTTTGGATCGTTTGAGCCTTTCTCCGCCATGGGCTGGCGATTGTGGCCATTTTCGCCAGCCCTGTCTATTGAACTAGTCCTGATGGGAAGTGAGTGTTGAAGGTTATCCGGATCTGAGGGGGTTTGGAGATTCTCTCGAGTGTGGGGTAAAACAGAAAGCGACTCGGTCATGGAGGATGGAATGTAGCTCAAATATTTGGAGTTCCTTTGGTCATAATCATCATCATACATGTACCCAATTGTTTCTGTACGTGGTGATTCTTATCACTGATGGGAAGTTGTCTCTGTCTTGTCGTGTATCGTGTGCTGTGCTCATAAGGTCCAGTTGAAGTCTGGAGATAAAGAAACGAACACCAAGTATTAGCCTGCGGGTTCAACTTCGGCATCAATTCGCATACACTGCACGCACGCAAGAAACATAATATCAGTGTGCACCGGTGGTTTTTGATTATACAGGGATGACGGAGAGATATATGCAGGATTGGAGACGGTAATCTCTAGTAAAGAGAGGCAGGGTGGGATAAGTAGACAAAGGGAGGAGGAACGGCCTACTAGCAATTTACTGCTCCTCTCGTAAAACGAGAAGGACTAACTAAGCAGGCAAAGGAATTTCCGGGCGATGGGCGTGAGTGAGAGACGTGGAACAGAGGAGAGGTGAAGGAGATGTTGAGAGTTTCTTGGGGAGAAGATGGGGAGGAAGATGGGCAATCAAGTATGTAACAACAGTAGTACCGCCATCCGCACGCAGCCAGGGTCCGTGGGAGATACACAACCAACTTACCTGCATTATTGGGATGGATTGACGAGTGGAGTGGAGGGTTGAGCAGTAAGCAGGGACGGAGAGATGTGCAGGGACGTCGAACGAGACCAGGAGAGAGTACAGAGGGACGAGGATATTCGTAGAGATGCAGAGAGAGAACGACGGAACTCGTTTCTGGGTGATCGGACGGGATGAGGGACGGAGAACTGACGAGGGGGAGCCCGAGGGGGAGGGGGGGGGGAGGGGAGGAGAGAGGTTCGGTGGGATGTGGTGGTGTTGACTAGCAAGCGCCAAAAGCGAAGGGGGTTCAGCGAGGAGCGGTCATCGAAGCGCGAGGGTTAGGAGGGAGCTAGGACATAACTTAAGATGAGAGAGCCCGTTAGGAGGAAGAAGAGGCAGAATGAGGTGGAGCAGCAGTAGACGCCATGAGAGATGAGGTTGGAGGAGATGGAGAAAAAAATAGAAAGGGACAAAAAAGGGACGGGCGAGTGGTTGGTTGGTTATTTTGGGAATTTTGGGAATTTTTTTTGATTTTTGAGAGGCTCGCGAGAGACAAAAGACAA